ACACACACACACACACACACACACACACACACACACACACACACACACACTCCTAGTTACTAAATGAAAGGTCTGCTAAGGTCAGGAAGCAAGAACACAGCGAGCCCGATTTCACCCACAGGCTAATGATCAAAGAGAGTAATTGCGGTTCCGTGACCACTGTTAAGACTGAAGTTCTGGAGGGAGGGCTAAAGAGATGGTTCAGTGGTTAAGAGCACTGACTGTCCTTTGGGAGGACCCAGGTTCAATGCCCTGCACCCACATGGCAGCTCACAACTGTCTGTAACTCCAAGATCTGACACCTTCATACAGACATACATTCAGGCAAAACACCAATGCACATAAAAATAAATGAATAAAAGTTTTTTAAAAAGACAACTTGTGTGTCCACGATAAAATCCGATCTTCCCGGTTTTGTAATGACACGCCTGCTGAAGAGTCAGTGCACCGTGAGGACTCAGTGCTGTACAGCACAGGGCAGAGTCTTCCTTTTCTGCTGTCTCAAGAAAAGCAAAATCAGATGTGGGGCTTACGATAGCTTATTCTTAAATATGAAACTTAGCTGGATGGCGGTGCCACACGCCTGTAATCCCAGCACTCAGGGAGGCAGAGGCAGGTGAATCAATGTAAGTTCAAGGTCAGCCTGGTCTACAGAGTGAGTACCAGGACAGCCAGGGCTAAAACAGGGAAACCCTGCCTCAGAGGTGAAAAAAACAAACAAACTGTAATCATTATGTACAATTTAAACTCATGATTAAGAAATGATTGTAGGGGCTAGAGAGATGGCTCAGAAGTTAAGAGCACTGGCTGCTCTTCCAGAGCAGCATAACGTGTGTGTGAATGTATGCTGCTTTACCTTAGTGGCTGACCCCACATCTCCTCTTTACTGCTGAACACACTGCCAAGGCTCCAGCAGAGGCCAATTAAGATACTGGTTGTCCTGCTGTGTCGCATTCCACCCTGAGACAGGGTCTCTTGTGGACCGACACTGGTGCCAGCAAGCTCTGGTGACCTCCTACCCACACCTGCCCCCAGCTCAGGAGATACAGGCATCCAAAGCCACACTGCTTTTTTCTTTTTTAATGTGGTGCTAGGATTTGAACTCAGATCTTCATGCTTGCCCAGTAAATGCTCTTTCCCAATGAGCAATCTCTCCTGCCACCCTACCTCACGGAATTCTAATACTCTATTTCTAAAATGCTTCTGAGTGGGACGTACACAAGGTTTACACACAAAACGGTACACTATGCCATTCCTCTACGTCCACTCTCTTATAATAAACATCACAGGGGGTACTGGTCTGAAGTGATTAAATAGCACTGGGAATCCTTACTTAAGGAGACTACTGGAAACTTGAGTAGTAAATGCAATTAACTTCTTATAACTAATAACTAAAACTGGGATCTTCAAGCCCATTAAAAATAAAAATAAATAAGTCAAAGACTATACAAAAAAACCCACCAGAAAAGTAATTTCAGATTTTTCCATCACCAGTTTCTTGTTCTTACCTTTAAAATTTCAGGCTTTGTTTTTTCCATCACATGAGTCAGGCTAAAAAGATGAAACAAAGCCTCCCGGACAAAAAATGCCCTCTCACTGTACCGCCTCAGCGCTTCTGCGATCTGAGTTTCGTTGGCCTCTCCAGATACCTTTGAACACCAAAAGAGGAGCGTTTAGAGTCCTTTCATCTCTACCTTTCTCCATCTTCACATCAGCATTCTATAAAACAACCAAGTAAGGCCTGAAACAAACGGGAACGATGCTTTGTAACCCACGTACAGCCACCACCCTTCAGAGATGCACAGTGGATTAGACCAGCACAAGCCTGTGGGTAGTATTTTCTACACGGCACATGGAATAAATCTCGACATTTAACATTCCATAAGGCTTGCTGCCTCCATTTTTTGGCTGTCTCTTGGGGTAAACCCCTTCCCTTAACTCACGCTACTGACACTGCGTGTTGTTCCCTTGGTCTTTCAAAAAGCCAAGCACTATCTCAGCAGAGGGTTATCCCACACTGCCCACTCTAAAACTCTCTCTCTTTGCTTCACTAAGTTGTATTCGTCCTTCCTCTGTCAAGTCAAGCCTGTCTTTAGAGAAAGCCTTTCTTGATATACCAATCTAAATCAGGTTCCCCCAAATGTCTTTTCCTGGTTATCATGGCCCTCCCACTTCAGTGACCAACAATGACTAGCATTATGAATGACTCAGAAGGAGCACTTAATATGTGTCCATCAAATAATCTGTTAATTTCCCCAAACCTATCAAGGTCCCTAAGGTTTATTCAACTTAAACTTAACTTACAGATCATTATAATTATATTAAATGTGGCTCAGAGACCACTATGCAACCAAATACAGACAAGAAGTGACTATAAAGTAATCAAATAAGCAAGAGAGACAGAAATGATTAAGATACAGGGCTGGTGAGATGGCTCAGTGGGTGAAGGTGTTGCCATGCAAGCCTAGTGACCCGAGTGTGATCCCCAAAACCCAAGTTAGGAACCAATCTAACATTTACATACTCACCAGGGGCGCATGTGCGCGCACACACACACACACACACACACACCATGCGTGTACAGATACAAACAATGACTAAGACATCATAATGTTCTCCAGTGAATGACCAAATCTAGGTATTATACAATCTCCAATGACTTAGTAACCTGATACCAAACACCAGTAACTGCTGATGTTACAGGAAGAGAAGACCACACATTTGACAGCCCAGTCAAAGAGGACAATAAGTACAGGTCTTGCCAAAGGGACCAAACATTAACCTAACTAAACTCCAAACCTAGCTGCTAATTTGCAGAAAATATAGGAATGGTGGCTCACAACTGAATCTGAGCATTTAAGAGTTTGAGGCAGAAGAATCGTAAGTTCAAAGCTAACCTGGACTACACAGTAAGCTCCAGGCCAGTGTGAAAAACAACAATACCCTACCTATCCCAACTCCTCACCCCTACCCACAAAAAAGACAAAAAGAATTATGGACCACACATGTGTATAACAACAACAAAATCTAAAAGTCTACTCTAAGGAGAACTCTAAAAGTCAAAAAAGGACTGACTTGTTTGTTTTCAGTAGACCAGTTTTTTGTTGTTGTTGTTGTTTTGTTTTTGAGACAGTCTCTTTATGTATACTCGTTTGGCCTACAACTCTGTGTGGACCAGGTTGGCTCTGAACACAGTGATCCACCTGCCTCCACCTTCCAAGAGCGGGGAATAAAGGCATGAAGCAACATGCCTCACCAGTAGATGAGTTTAAAGGAAAAGGAAAGGAAGGAAGGGCCTATGAAACACATCACTGGGTAAAAGCACCTGCCACCAAGCATGAAGACCTGAACTCAGTTCCTGGGACCCATATAAAAGAACCTACTCCTGCAAGTTGAACTATGACGTTCACATGTAAATCTAAATAAATGTAATAATTTTCTTAAAAATGTTTATTATTTATACAGTATTCTGCATGCAAGCAGAACACTGTGTACATAATAAACAAATCTTTTAAAAAATATTTAAAAGAAATAAAGATCAAAGACAGCCAAGGCTACACAGAGAAACCCTGTCTTGAAAAAAAAAGAAGAAAGAAAGAGACGATTGCTGGGTATGGTGCATGACTTTAATCCCAGTAACAAGGAGGCAGAAGGATCTGAGTTCTAGGCCAGCCAAGATGTTCCAGGTGAGTGATACCCTATACCCTGTCTCAAAAAAGGGGTGGGCATGGGGGGTTGGGGGAGCTGGGCACAATGTTCATGTGTTTAATTCCAGCAAATGGGAATCATAGGTGGATCTCTATGAGTTTAAGGCAGCCAGGGCTACCCAGTAAGATCCTGTCACAAAAGAAAAAAAAAAAGGGAGAAGGGCATGGCACACCCCTGTAGTCCCAGCACTCAGGGAGGCAGAGGCAGGGGAATCACTGTGAGTTCAAGGCCAGCCTGGTCTAAAAGGGAATCCAGGACAGTCAAGGCTACACAGAGAAACCCTGTCTCAAAAAACAAAACAAAACAAAAAAACAAAAACAAAAATGAAACAAAAAAGGAGAGAGGAATGAAGCTAGAAAGAGGGCTTAGTGGTTAGGAATACTTGTTATTTTTGTAGAGTACCTGGGTTTGATTTCTAGCACCACATATAAAATTTCCAAATCTAAAATACAATAACAAAAAGGAAGACAAGAAGAACCTATAAACAACAGATGCTGCAAAGAAACTCCAGGGTTGAAGAGCTGCCTCAGCGGTGAGGAGTCTGTATCGCTCTTGCAGAGGATTGAGGTTCGATTCCATCACCCACAGTGAGTGGACAGCTTAGAAGAGCCTATGGGAATAATTGCTTCTCAGCCTTTGAGGTAAGACTAATTATGGAAACAAAATTAAAAAAAAAAAACAAACACAAATTTGCATGGCTATGGCTTGGAACATTTCAACAGCAGAAGCCTTAAAAAAAAAAAAAAAAAAAAAAAAAAAAAAAAAAAACGAGGAAAATCACAATAAAAGAAAAACAAGAAACAGGTGGGGTTGGTGGTGCCTGCCTTTAATCCCAGACTCAGGAGGCAGAGGCCAGCCTGGGCTACAAAGCCCAGTAAAGCCAGGGCTACACAGAGAAACAAGGAAAACAAAAAACAAGAAACAAAAAGAAAAGAAGCAAAACAAGATAAGTATGATATCATAGAAGCTAAGTTTAAAAAGCAAAAAGTATTACAAGGAGGAAGGCAACATCAACTTTGTCCAATACCACTTTGGGTCAAACAGGATGAAGTCTGAGAATTAAAATTGGACTTAGCAGATTTCCAGGAATTCGTAGGAGTGCAGAGCTTGGGTGACAAGGTGAGCCTTGGAAGTGAGGCGGCCAGCATATGTAAGAACCAAACTTGGGAAGTGCCAGACTGACGGAACTAATGGTGACAAAACCATAGGTCAGAAAGCCAGCTCTGGTGGAAGTGAAAACGGAGGAAAAGCCAAGCTGAAACTTACTTCAGTAGAAGTCGTAGGTGCAGTGGGAAGCTTTAGATTCAGAGTCTGAGGCACAGGACAGGTTCTAAGACCAGCGGGCTGTGACCCTTAAGAAAACCATTTCTGGAGCTGGAGCGATGACTCTGCAGTTAGGAGCACTGGAGGCTCTTTCAGAGGACTTGACTTCACTTCCCAGCACCCACATGACAGCTCGCAACTGTGCGAAACTCCAGTCCCAAGGGACCTGATGCCCTCTGCAGGCACCAACAACACAAATGGTACATACACATCCAGGCAAAACACTTGCACACACAAAATCACGTAAAGAGAACATCTCTTGGGACAGGTTATGCAGGCACACACCACTAATCAGAGCACTCTACAGGTAAAGGCAGAAGGATCACTGTGAATAGTGAGTTCCAGGCCAGCCAGGGTTGCACAGTGATGCGGCCCTCTCTTGATACAACAACAAACAACAAACAAAGACAAAAGAAAGGAAAACTTTTCTTTTTTTTCTGTTTTTGTTTACTGCACTGGTGTTTTGCTTGCAATGTCTGTGTGAGCATGTTGGATCTCCAGGAACCAGATCTACAGACAATTATGAGCGGCAACGTAGGTGCTGGGAACTGAACCTGGGTCCTCTAGAAGAGCAAAAAGTGATGTTAACCGCTGAGCCATCTTTCTTGCCCCCAACCATTTTCTTAAGTCAGGTATGGTGGCTCACATCTGTAATTCCAGGACCCAGGTATCTGAGGCAGGACACTGGAGATGGCAAAATAAGTAATGCTTATGAAAGCGTAATAAACGCCCACCCCACATAAATGCTGGGAAATTATACTGGCTGGTTTTTGCATCAATTATTGTGGCCTTATGAACAGGCACATACAGCCAAAAGCGAACCTAAACTTATCACAACACAGTACTGAGAAAACTGTTTCTTAGCAATTACACTAAATTGGATCATTCTAACAAAAGAGATAGGCAATTTCAGCCCTCTTCCTTCAACCTGTCTTATTTTTAAGCTGTCAAATCAGTAGTCAAAGAAACATCAACCTTTTACATATTTAATAAAAAGCTCTAATGATCTTTGTTTGCTCTAGACATCATCACCGTGCAGACCTGACTCGCCTGGACCTTGCTATGTAGCTGAGGCTGGCCTCAGACTCTCCAGTGCTACAGACAGCAAGAACTGGCTCATTCTTAAGATATATATTATTTGCTTATTTATATGTATGGCTTTTGTCTGCATATATGTCTGTTCATTGCATGTGTGCCTAGTGCCTATGAATGCTAGAAGGCATCAGATCGCCTGGGACTAGCTACAGACGGCTGTGAGCCGTCATGGGGCGTGCTGGGTGTGGAACATAGGCAGGTCCTTTAGAAATGCAGCCAGCACTCTCAGCTGCTGAGCCATCCATCTCTCCAGCCCAAATATTTTAAAATATTGTTATTAGCATTACTATTAATTATTTGCGACAGTGTCTCACTACATAGCCCTGGCTGGCCAGGAATTCTGTATGTAAACAGGCTGGCCTCAAATCGGAATCTGCCTGCCTCTGCCTCCAGAGTTCTGGGATTAGAGGTATGCACTCTACCAAATGAACTCCATCTCCAGGCCTCTCTGGACTTTTTTGGAGACGGTCTTACTACGTAGCCCTGGGTGGCCTGAAGCTCGCTATGTACACCAGGCTGGCCTGGAATACACAGAAATTCATCTTCCTCTGCTTCTTTGAGTACTTACATTAAAGCATTCACCATGCTTGGCCCCACTGGACTTTCAGTTGGGATTATTACTCTAATGCAAGCCTTTCCACTATACAATGATTTCCATGCCTTGTTTCATAGATTAGACATTTACCCTAATGAAGTCTTGTGGACCTAAAAAAAACTGACCAAACAAAATAGATTTTTTGAGATCTAACCTTCAAGTGTCCTTTGCCCATAAGGAATTCAGAGTAACCAGCATCTGTGGCCAGCAAACCTACAAACTGCATGCTGGGCCGCTGCTGAATGAAGGCTTCAACAGCTTTATCTGTCACATGCTTTCTCCCTGAAACGTCCAGGGAGACAAGATTGGGCAAGATGTCCTTCTGCTCTAATAATCGAAGCGCTATGTCTGATGTAAACTGTTTATCATCTGAGATGTCAAGATGATTCAGATATTTTAGTTCCCGAACCACATCCAGGATCTGGGTAGTGGTCATTTTTAAGCATTTCAAATGATGCATGGTGAGAGACTTGAGCCGGTCTTTGCAGGCCAGCAGGGCAGTGATATCTGTGATTGAGGTGTTGGAAATATCCAGGCTCTCCAGTCTCGGCAGCGAAGCGACTTCAGCCAGATCTTCATTGTAGAAGAGCACGTTAGTGATGCTCAGTGCTCGAAGGCCAGAAAGCCGGCTGAAACACCGCTCATAGGGGTCCTCGAGGGACAGAGTTAGGGAGTTCAGCACTAAGCACTGAAGGTTTTGCTGGATCCACTTGTTACTGCCAAGGCCACTAATGATGTCTGTGATAGTGATGTCCGCATTCACACCGGTGGCATCAAGTTCTACTAGCTTGTGGTGGCAGAAGGCTTTCCGGAAAGCAACAGCAGAAATCTTTGCTTTGCGGATGCAAGCTCTCTTCAGGCGCATCTGGTTCCCTCTGAAAATTCCCACAGTTCCATCATTCAGCAGACCTAGGGAAAAATAAGCAGTATTTTAATTAAAAAAAAAAAAAAAAGCAGCCAGAGAAGAGCAAAATTCCCACCACACTTTACACTTCTAACATACTTCCATGCGGCCGCATTTCACTTGATACAGTTCAGTGAGATGAAGATGCTACTCCCTAGAGGGAGACCAAAAGGGGACGTTCCAAGATTATGGAGCTAGCAACAGCAGAACTAGAATAAAACAGATATTATGGAGATTCTCCACCCTGTTAGATACACAGGCAACTATACTTGCCAGCACTAGATAGAACCAGTTATAGCCAAAGGGCTACAGGCTTACACACCTGACGGCCAACTGTGACTGCCTATACTCTTCTTCTGTGAAAAAGGAAAAGGATTCAGGTTCTAGAAATGGGGTACTTTGAGGACTGAGTCTCCATTATTCTTGATACCAAAGTGGCCACGGAAGAGGATCTTCAACAGACCTTGCAGAGTTTATATATGAATGAGGTTTAAGGATAACAATATATTTCTACTATATTTTAAGTTTACAACACATTATTACACAAACATACTTACACAATACAGTTGGTAGATATAATGGCTAGAATTCATTATTAAATCATTAGCCAGAGCTGGGTGTGATTGTACACAGCATTCAAGAGGCAGAGACAGGAAGATCTCTGTGAGTTCAAGACCAGCCTTATCTACATAGCCTGCTCTAAGACAATCAAGACTACATTGACACCCCGTCTTAAAAAAAAATACAAACAAACAAACAAACAACCCACTAGCCAGATCTGAAACCTTTTTATTTTGGTTTAGTTTTTTGCTTTATTTCGTTAACAGGGTTGTCCTGTGTGTCCTGAAACATGCTTTGTAGACCAGGCTGGCCTCAAACACCTGGCTTTAGTCTTTAAATTTTGAAAAACTGTATTGTTCTGTTTTGTTTTGTTTTGAGACTGGGTTTCTGTGTAGCCTTGGCTGTCCTGGACTCACTCTGTAGACCAAGGTGGCCTCGAACTCACAGATATTGGAACTGCCTCTGCTTCCCTGAGTGCTGGGATTACAGGTGTACACAACCACGCCCAGATAAAATTGTACTTCTTTCTTCATGTGTGTGCACATGTGTTCATGATATGGCGTGAGTGTGGGGTCAGAAAACAGCTGTGTACTTAGTTCTTTCCTTCTCCACATGGATCCCTAGAACAGAACTCATAGGTTTGGCAGCAACCCTCTTTATCCAGGGAGCTACCTTAGCAGCCTCTGGTGTTTCTGTTTGTTTTTAAGACATGGTCTCACCTTGTCTCCCACTGGCCTCACAATGGTAGCCAGTGCTTGAAACCTTACTGAAATGATTTAGCATCTGAGCATAAGTAGTACATGCCTGTAATCCCAGCACTGGAGACACGGAGGCCAGAAGATCACTGTGAGTTCACTATATAGTTAAACCCTGTCTCTCTCTTACACACATACACACAAACGTTTAAGTAGGTTTTTTTCCTTTAAAAAGAGGAAGAAACAAACAAACAAAAACAACCACCAAACAGTTATAGATCCTCTGTGTAGGACAAATGCAGATAAAATGAGCAAAGTAAAATTCTCCTAGAAATGACCGATTAGAGAATAGTGCTGCAAGAATATGACACTTTGGAGCCACACCTCAAAAATTTACACACCCAACAATACCTACGAAGAAAGAAATAACAGCCACACCTATAAAATGTGCTCTAATGTGGCTGTGGCATCGGGGTTAAGATAAATAAGTACTATGAAGTTAAAGGAAGAATTTTTATTGTCACCTCAGCTGGTCCATACTAACAAGGCCACTCAAGCTGCACAGCCAATATCAACTCAGAACTGAGGCATTTTGTCTGAGCTAGAGGCATAGCTAAGTGGTGGAGCACTTACTCATCATGTTCAAAGCTTAGCTGTTGTTCAACACGTAATGAAGCACGCACAGGAAGTAGCTTAGCAACCAACTCTAGACACCCAGAGTTGCAATAGCACAACCCTTCTTAACAATGTACCTTGAAACCTGTTGGCAACCTAATAACCCCCCCACACATACACACACACACACACACACACACGCACATACACCCGCTTTAGCACTAAAAACAAGTTGCTCTTCTTAGCAGCCCCCTAGCAACACCCTGCTTCTACTCAAACATGTTGTAAGATACTCTAGCATCTGGGCCAATCCAGCCTGCACAGGTTGTCGGCTATGAGCGTCAAGGCAAACTGTGTCCTCTGAGGGTTCTTTTTTAGAGACAGGGTTTCTCTGTGTAACTCTCTGGATAGACTGGCTTGGCCTTACCTCAGGAGATCTACCTTCCCCTGCCTCCCAAGTGCTGGGCACACATCTGGTTAAAACAGCTGCATCACGGTAAAGGACTTATGCAGTAGAGAAAAGGCTGTACAACCCAAACCTGTCAATCAAAACAGAGAACCACCACCAACATCACCTGCACAGCTCCTCCTCCTACTAAACTCCAAACAGTAACCAAGGCCCCCAGTACTCTCTCAGGCAGCCTCCTGCCTCTCTTGGGAGTGTATCCAAACCTGAACTTTTGCTTTAATCTAAATGAATCTTACTGCTTTCCTTTGTGAGTATGTCTTTCCCCAGTTATATGAACAAAGTGTCACAAACTGGCCAAAACAAAACAAAAAACTATGCTAGGACTAGGGAGATGCCTTGGCAGGTTAAGCAAACCTGCCAAGGGTTAAGAGGACCCAGGTGGAACACTCAGTTCCCACACAGTGGCTCACAACCAACTGTACGTCCAGTTCTAGGGAAACCAACATCATCCCTGGCTTCTGCAGGCACCAGACATGCATCTGACAACAATACCAGAAAAGCTGGTGCACATCTCTTGATCCCAGCACTCAGAAGGCAGAGGCAGGCAGATCTCTCAATTGGAGGCCAGCCTGGTCTACAGGGTGTGTTCCAGGACAGCCAGGGCTACACAGAGAAACCCTGTCTCAAAAAAACAAAAAACAACAAACAGCAACAGAAAAGAAACTAATAGAATACCTAACTGAAACTTTCTTTGGGGGGATAGGTTTTCATGTAGTCTAGACTGAAGTCAAATTCACTCTGTAGCTAAGGATGGCTGTGAGCTGCTCATCTTGCCCCAGTCTCTTGCCCAAGTGTTGCTATTCCGGGCATGTGCTAATACTCCTAGCTTTTCTTTACTTTGTGGAGTGTGTATGCATGCCTGACTGCACATGGAAGTCAGAGGACAACTTGTGGAAGTCAAGTTTTTCCTTCCACCACATGGCTCTGTGGAGCTGAACTAGGTCATCAGCCTAGGCAACAGGCACTCTACCCACTGAGCTATTGCTTGGGCTCATCACACCTGGCTTCTTAAAGCAGAGTTTTAGATTGAACGTCCTGCGCATGATCACTGAGAGATGTTGGTGTTACATCATTCCTTAGGTTGTGTAGCTCTGTGAGTGACCCCTTTCAACATGTGTCCTCCTTATTGTCAGTTATCCTGGCTCCTGTGTCAGGGTGTGACTGAAGCAATTCAGTGAAAATAAAGGAATACAGAGGTTTGCTTTTCTAAACTATACCTCGACTACAGTTTCATTTCCCTCACTTCTTTGGGACGCACATTCTGCATTCACTCCTAACAATTTCCTTCTTTCTTTTTTCCTTTTTGTACATCTAGTATGGGTGGGTGTGGGAGGCCAGAGGAGGTTTCATGTGTCCTCCTCCCCCGTTCTGGTCTTCTTCTTTTGAGACAGGGTCTCTGAGCCTGGAGCTTGCAGGGTTTTTTTTTGTTTGTTTGTTTGTTTTTTTTTTCAGGATGGCAGCAGTGATCTCTTCTTGTCCTCATCCCTTGACACAGCTAGCTGCTCACAGGACATTGGGGACCCTAAGTCCTTACACTGGCATTGCAAGTACTTTAGTATTGAGTCATCTTTCCAGCACCCCAACAGTATTTTTCATATATGTCACAGTAAACCACAAATTCTATCTGGCCTCTAGAAGCAGGGACACCTCACAGGTAGGTGTAAGAAGGCTGTATGGCACAGCAGGGAAGGCATGTTTACAGACACAGACATTCCAATAATGGGGAACCGACGACTTCACAGCGTTCTGACCTTCGGCACGTTACCTCTCAGAATCTCAGTTCCAACATTCATTTATAAGTAGGGATAATTACTATAGTTCCTAATGTCTTCATTACTGTTCTACTGTTGTGAAGAAACACCATGACCAAGATATTTAACTAGGGGCTTGCTTGGTGCCAGAAGGTTAGTCCATGAGCACCACGGTAGGAACACGGCAGTAGGTAGCAGGCGTGGCGCTGGAGCAGGAGCTGAGTGCTCACATCTGATCCCCAAGCAGCAGGCAGAGAGCCAGAGTTAACTGCAATGGCAATGGAAGTTTTTAAACCCTCAAAGCCCACCTCCCATGACACACCTCCTCCCAAGCCCCACCTCCTAATCTTTCCCCAACAGTTTCACTAAACAACTGAGCCTATAGGGGCCATTCTCATTCAAACCACCACACCTAGGTACTCATTCTCTCTCCTAGCTGTAAGCAAATCATATTCCTTACTTGTCAGCATTTTTAAAGCCTAAAGAAATGTGGTACTTTTCTACGGTTTACATCTTAAATAGAAACAACCAAAATCTCAATTATGTAACTATAATCTCACAGATAATACTTGCCCAATGTATTTTCAAGATGTAGCTTAGTTGGTGGAGGACCTACCTAACACAATGTCTTGGGTTCAATTCCCGGCACTGCACAAACCAGTGTAAACCAGGTGTGATAATACATCTGCAAAACCAGCAACTTAGAACTTTATTTATTTATTTATGTTTTTCTTGAGACAGAGTTTCTCTGTATAGCCTGCAATACCAGCAACCTAGAATTTTCATCTATCTATCTATCTTCTATCTATCTATCTATCTATCTATCTATCTATCTATCTATCTATCTATCTATCTATCTATCTATCGTTTTTTTCAAGACAGAGTTTCTCTGTGTAGCCCTGGCTGTCCCGGAGCTTTCTTTATAGATCATACCAGCCTCAAACTCAGAGATCTACCTGCCTCTGCCTCCCAAGTGCTGGGATTAAAGAGGTGTGCCACTGTGCCCTGTACAATTTAGGATTTTGTGGCTGCAACATGATCAGAAGTTCAAGGTCACCTCCACTGACAGTGAGTTTGAGGCTAGCCTGGGCTACATGAGACTGTCTGAAGGTCTTTATAAACCTGTTGCCTTCTAAACAGAAGTACTGCAGTTAGAGAAGTTCCTCGTGAAAGAATCACTGTGTAGGTCTTGATGAGATGCTTAGTGCTTAAGAGCATTGCTGCTCTTGGAGAGTGCCAGATTCAGATCCCAGCATCCATTTAATGCTTCACAGCATCGCTAACTCCAGTTCGAAGAGACCTGACACCTTCTTTTGATCTCCATGGGCACCAGGGATGCACAATGCATACATACAGGTAAAACATTCATCCACATAATACAAATAAATTTAAATATGTGTATATCTTTTAAAGAACTGACTCTTAAATAAAAAAAAAAAAGAAAAATAAAGTTTTGCCTAAACTGGAAAGGGGAAAAAAAAAATCATTAAATCTCAGGCAAAACCACCTGAATCCTTTTCCTAGAATCAGGTTCTTCTGACTTTTTCTACTCTTTCTAAGAGAATAAGTAAGTGAGCCACAGCAGCATTCTAAAATCCAATGCCAACAAACAGCACTCACTCTCTTTGCCACCTTTCATCACTTACCATGCAATGCCATGGTCTGAAGGAGCCGATCGGCCACCTCCTGCGGGAACACTCCAGGCTCCTGCAGACACAGTGTTCCATCTTGTCTGGCTGAGCAGAACTTCTCCAGGTTAGTGGTCAGGAAGCTCAAGCAGATGTCAAGTAAGGAATACGGAGACGCTTCCTCCTTGGAGTGCAGAAAGGAACATAGAACACACACACACAAAGAACAAATTAGTTTCCAGAAAAGGAGAGAATGTACACATCCTCATTCAACACAGATGTGTCGCCTTGAGGCACAGTGAACACTGATCTGAGCCCCGTCTGCTTCTTCCTCCGCAGCACTGAGGTGAACCGTGAGCACCACCATGTACAAGCACAGAGACACAACTCTGCAACTGCGACTTTTGTATCTGGATCCTTCTGTACTGATCTGTCTTATGTCAGCTTGACACCCAAACTAGAGTTATCTGAATGGACGGAACCTTAGTTGAGAAAATGCCTCCATAAGACCCAGCTATAAGGCATTTTCTTAATTGGTGATCAGTTGGGGAGGCCCAGCCGTTGTGGTGGTGCCATCCCTGGACTGGTGGTCCAGGGTTCTCTAAGAAAGCAGGCTGAGCAAGCCATAGGGAACAAGCCAGTAAGCAGCACCCCTCCAGGGCCTCTGCATCAGCTCCTGCCTTCAGGTTCCTGACCTGCTTGAGTTCCTGTCCTGACTTCCTTCAGTGATGAACAGCAATATGGAAATTTAAGTCAACTAAATCCTTTCCTCCTTAACTTGCTTTTGGTCATGATGTTTTGTTGCAGCAACAGAAACATTAACTTAGGACACCAACCAAAATGTAATCTTACTTTACCTTTCAATTTAATCTCCCACAAAATTCTCACTAAAATCTGATATGATTAAGTTATTTTATACACAAAATCATTTGAGCCAAGCATGGTGGCTCTTGCCTGCAAACCCAGTCCCTGGGAAGGGAAACAAAGAAGTTCATCAAGGGTTCTATGGTGAGCCTCCTGCTTCAAAAAAGCCAAACAACAAAATTTAGAGCAAATGTGATGGTTCATGCCTGTAATCCCATCAAGAGAGAAAGAAAAATCAGGAATTCAAGGTCATCCTGAACTACAGAGCAAGTTTGAGGCCAGCCTAGACTACATGAGATTCTGTTTCAAAGAAACAAAAACAGGAATTTAGTACCTCTGCTATATATCATCAAAAACAAAAGTGCTTTTGATTTAAGTTTTGTTTTTGTGGGTTTTTTTGTTTTCTTGAGGCATGCTCTCATGTATTGTAAACTGATGTTTGAACTCCTGATCTTCCTGCCAGTACAAGTTGAGAGGCATCATTCTAGGTTAAAAAATAATAGAGAGCTTACCCAATTTATTCTAGTCTAAGAAATTAAAAAAAAAAATCAGAATAAAGTATAAGGGCTTTAATAACAGAGATAAACTCTAAAACTGTCCCAATAATAATATTAAGATACAAATACAGTTATCCATCTACTAGGTACTTTCTGTCCAAGTGTACTATTTTATAATATTTAGCCATTATTTCCTTTATTCATCACCCTCATTTTAAAACCCTTTCACATGTATTTATTATGTACATATGTATGTGTGTGTGTAAGTATAGTTTGTATTCTTTTATGTATATGCCATGCTGTGTGGATGGGGATCAGGGATCAAAAGACAACTTGCTAGAAACATATGGTAATTAAAAATAATACAAATGCTCTAATTCCTCGGTGGCCAACCTGCTGGCTTCAGAATTCCTAAGTAATCGGGTCTATGCTTTCGAAAAGTGTCCTTTAGGAATGATGCTTAACATGGTCTTAAAAGGGGCAAAGTGCAGTCCGATCCCTTAGTTCACTGGTTACAAGACCCTAAAGAAGGAAACGGGAAAGTACTGCACATTCCATCTTACAACTGAGGAAGCAACTTCTTTAAAGGTGCTAGGGTTGGCTAGTGAGAACAGAACTAACTGGATTTGAACTGCGGTAATATTAGGCAAGTCACCTAGTTATTCTGACCTCAGCTGTGCATCTCTGGAGGATAAAGTGGCATTAGTGCTTAGGATTCTGCTGTCAGGATGAAGTGAGATACGTTTACATCCCAGATACAGTGCCACCAGTCCTTTCCCAGAGTAATGAAAATCTGAATCTTAGACACCTAGGTTTGCCTGGCAGCGGTGGGAATGCCTTTAATCCCAGCATTCAGGAGGCAGAGGTAGGTGACTCTCTGTTAGTTTGAGGCCAGCCTGGCTTATAAAGAGAGTCCAGCACAGCCAGGGCTCTGATACATAGAGAAATTCTTATCTCGAAAAACAAAACAACAATAAACACGCTCACAGTGGTAATTTCTCAGGACAGAATCCACGTTAGGACTAAAAAATGTGTTTCCTAGTCTAATTTCATTCTTGTTGGTGTGATAAAATATACCAACAAAAAGCAACATAGGTGGAAAAGGTTTAGCTCACAATTCCAGATTTCATTACATCACAGAAGGTGAGTCAAGGTGTCAGGGGCTCAGCACAACTGCTCACACATATCCACACGAGCAGAGAGAAATGAGGTAGCCATGCTGGCGCAGCTACCCTTCTCTACTCTTACAGAGTAGACCCGCAGCCAGGGAATGGTGCCACCCTCTCTCAGGCTGGGTCTTCACTTAAGCAACAAGACAGCCCCCCAAAGACAAGCCAACCTGATAGAGACAATCTCTCATTGAAATTCTTCCCAGATGATTTTTAGATTGTAATAGTGGACAAATACCCATCACACCTCCCTACTCCATCAAAACAGCATTTTTAAGGCTGGATGTGGTGGCACACGCCTGTAATCCCAGCTCTCAGGGGGGCAGAGGCAGGTGGATCACTGTGAGTTTGAGGACAGCCTGGTCTACAGAGCAAGTCCAGGACAGCCAAGGCTACACAGAGAAACTTTACTTTTTGAAGATTTCATTTTATGTTTGTTTTGTGTGTGTTGTCCGCTTGTATGGATACTCACATGTATGCCTCCTGTCTCTAGAAGTCAGAGAGGCACCAGAGCCTCTAGAACTGGAGCTACAGGCTGTGAGCCACCAGGTGGGTGCTGGGAGCCGAACCTGGGTCTGCTGCAGGAGCACCAGTGTTTCACTGCTGGGCCATCTCTCTAGCCCTCAGATTTCATTTTTTAAGTATGTATGTATGTATGTATGTATGTATGTATGTATGTATGTATGTATGTATTTAGAGCAGGTGTGTGTGTATGAGCTGCAGAGACCAGAGAAGCGCATCAGGTCCCCTCAGCAGGAGTGTGAGGGGCTGTGAGCGGTGACATGGGTGACAGAGACCAGACTTGTTTTCTGCAAGAGCTGAGTGTGTTCTGAACCTCTGAGCCTTCTTTGCAGCTCACGCACACACGTGCCCTTGCTCACTTTTTTCTTTGAAAGGTTTATCTTATTTTTATTGACACGCACATGTCTGTGTGGCTGTCCATCACATGTTCTCGAATGCCTGCGGTCAGAAGACCGCACTGCAGAGTGCTGGGGTGGCCTCGGGTCCTCTGGGAGAGCAGCACACACTGCCATCCCCTCCGAGCCACCTCTCAGCCCACACTTCATTTAGCAAGAAGCTAGAAAGACTGGCCTGGAGCGCTCTCCGCAGCCCTGTTGGTCTCAAACTTTCAGTCTTCTCGCCTCAATTCTTAGTCCTACAGATGTGCGTCACTATACATGGCTGTGACATGCTTTACAGCGTTTCCCACTGCAGTCCTGGACTCGTTTTATAGACCAGGCTGGCCTTGAACTCACAGTGAGCTGCCTGCCTCTGCCTCCCAAGTGCTGGGATTAAAAGCATGTGCCACTGTGCCAGGCATGAAATGCATTTTTTATTAACATTTTTTTTGAAGGACTGGGCAATAACCTTGGACATGGGACTCCAGTTGTCTGAATTAAAATGACACTCACAAAACTATGTAACTTTATTAGGAAATAAATTTATTAGAACTTATTCTTCCTGTACTTCAGTCCATGAGCTTAAAAAAATGCAGGCAACAGTACCTACCTCTTGGGACTGTTGTCAGAACAACTACACTCTAAATGCAGAACTCTTGAAGTAGTGCCCGGCATGCTAACTGCTGAGTCAATGTTAATGCTTATTATAGAATGTTAAGTTCCAGCAGGAAAAAAAAAAAGGTTTTGTTCACTGATACAGTCATAAGCCTAAAATAGCACCTACCACATAACAGCCACAAATATGTATTAAGCGAGTTGGGAAGCATAAGTTTATGTTAGATGTACTTCACTCCCTGAAAAAGAATGACTTATGCAGGGAGAAATATTAAGTCACAAGTCAGAGCTGAAATTAAAGAACAGAACTAGAGGCAGACATACACCACCTAGGCGCGCACCACTGTGACTTCCAAGCACCTTGGTTTAGAGATTTTCGTTTCTTTTGCAGTGCCAGGATTGCACAAGCGCAGTGTCACTGAGTGACATCCGCGGCCCCACTGTCTATCACTTATTCCACCATGTCTGACTTCTGGAAACAGGCACCTCATAGCAGACACAATCAAATCCCTTCTCTACCCCTTTCTGACAACATCTTACAAATCAGAAAGGTCAATCAGGTAGTCTCAAGAACAGAGATATTACAGGCTGGAGAGATGGCTCAGCAGGTAAGAACACTGGCTGCTCCTCCAAAGATTCCAGCATCCACAGTTCAATTCCCAGCATCCACAAGGCAGCTTACAACTGTCTGTAACTCCAGTTCCAGGGAATCCAACACCATCACACAGACATGCATGCAGGGAAAGACAGCAGTGCACATTAAAAAAAAGAAGAATACAAATATATGAACTACTAGACATATGGGGAGTTTTTTGTTTGTGTTTTGTGCTGGAACTCAAACCCAAGGTCTCTTTTGCTTCCTTACTTGCTTGAGATTTCACTATGTACCCCGGGCTGGACTTGAACTCAGAGAAATCTCCCTGTGTCTGCCTGTGCTGGGATTAAAGGTGTGTAACAGCATGCCTGGCCTTGTCTTGTCCGTGCTACTCAGTGCTCTGTTGCTAAGCTGCACCCTCAGCTGTTTTGCTTTCAGAGCGATCACTGATTACTCTTCAGAAACTCCTAAATGCCAAATTAAGGAGGTGGTAAAGCAACGTTTCTGCATGTTTCACTTCAAAACCTAGCCAATATGGCAAGTAG